ATGTCCACTCCCATCAACCCGGCTGTGATCTGCGTGGCTGCTCCGTCATCCACTGTAAAAGGGTGCACCAGCGTTGGAGGGATGTCCTGCGGTGTGGTCTGGTCTGAACCACTCGCTTCTCCTCCTCCTCTCGGTAAGTCTCCCATCGGGGTGCCAGCCGCCGAATCCAGAGGCGTCGGGGGGCCCCTTTTGGTCGACTGCCTATGCTGCCAGTAGACTTGCTGCACCGAGGCGTGGTCAACCTGACGAAGGCGCTGATACTCCTCTGCGTAAACCTGTACCGCTGCTGGATCAGTACTAGGCAAACACATGGCTGCAAACGAAGCTAGGCTCCCTTAAGGAGCGGTGTGGTCGAGATGAACTGCGACCGAAGAAAAAATGCAATCTGCATGCACGACTTGCAGCCGATACGCCTATCAACAATTATTACTATCATTATTGTTATTCTCGTTAGTATTCTGTTAATAGCTACTTCTGCTTCTGTTTAGCCACCGATCTTTCGTTCTTCCGTTTTCATGTTGCAGCTTTTGGCTGCAACTTTGTATTCTGGTTTCAGTCGTCGTCCCTCGTCTTGCTAAGCTCCTTAGCAACGGTCGTAGCAGTCGTAGCACTGTCCCGGCTATCCCTGCCAGCTGATCCTGACGTTGACCGTCACGATGATGTTGCTGACGGCGACTGTGGCCATGGTTGGGTTGACGTTGCTGAGGAGGGTCATGATACTGAGCAGGCACATCTATGCCACCAAAGCCGGTCCTGCGGTGGCAATCACTGTTGCGGCTGAGGAAGTGGCGAGGAGACAAGAGCATCAGTGGCCTCGGGCTCGCTTCTTCTCCTTCTTGCAGTCCCACCGACTTCCAAAAAAGACCACGCTTCGCCTATATATGTCTGGTGTTCAGTCTTGCTGGATCTTCCTGGTACTGCTGTTGCTGTTGTCGTGGTAGTCATGGGAATCGGACGGACGCTCGCATGTCTCTGTGCCAGGTTGCCAGGAGGGCCTCGACTGTGCTTTGATGGCCAGGCGCAACTTCTCTTGCAGTCGCCTCTTCTCTTCGTCACCCTTGGCATCCGCAGGAGCATCTTCCGCAGCATCGGTGACAGGTTCCGGCCTCGGAAGGGATAGGAGACTTGGACGAAGGCCCCTGTCTGCGGCCCAAAGCTCTCGAGGCGCGGGGAGGGTTTGGCGATGCACGGTGTCGCCGTCGCTCACGTCCGGGCCGCGCCCTCAAATTTACGGGTCCCGAGTTCTTCGGGTTTGTCGGCTTCGTTTCACTTGGAGGGGAAGGCCTCCAGCCGTCTGGCCGTCGTTTTCTCTGAGGCCGACATCAACGATGTGGTTCTACAGGGTGGCATGGGCGGCTGGCTGGCCGTTCTCTGAGACTCCACGAGCTTTGAAAGCCATGAAATCGCCATATCCAGAAGTGCGCAAAAAGTCCGAAGCTGTTTAGAAGAGCTCTCCGAGGCAGCAGCTGCCGAGGCGGTGCCACGCTCAGCGAAAGTTCGGGGAGTCTTCCTGCGCCTGCAAGACACAGCTAGGATGGAATTCTGTCCCTTCGTGAGGCCAAGCTCTTCCGAGACAGCGGCTACCAGAAAATGGAAGCCTTCGAGCAGGCCATTGAAGCTCCCTGCCTTGCAGCCGTAAACCCTGTGATGCCCACGAGGTTTGTGTTGCCCAGTGGACCCTTGGCATCAATCCTCGCAAGGCGGGGTGCTCACACATGAAGCGGGCGTGTTTGCAATGTGTGTGTGTGTGAGCTGTCTTCGTTCATGGGCTAGAGCGGCTAGGGGAGTTCACTCTCCAACGTGATGTCCATGCTTCGCTAGCTTGCAATTCTTTCATAGGCAGGCGCACCAGGGATGTGTGGCTGGGCATCGTGCAACGAAGCATGCGCTCGAGGGACACCTCGACCACGTACCTGCAATTCTCATTACTACTGCTGCTACGGCTTCTACGACGACTACTACTACTACTACTCCTCCTACTACTACTACTACTACTACCACTACTACTACCACACGTTGCTATCATTATGACACCGACGATGACCATTGCTGCGACCACCATTACCACTGTCACCGCCGTCATTACGACTATGACTATGCCTACGACCGTGACGAGGACTACTTCGAATGTTGCTCTACTCAGCTGTTGCTGCTGCCTCTTTGGCCTTGCTGCTTCCTGGTTTGTGGCTGCTGCCATTACCAGTGTGCTGCAGGCCATGAAATTGGCAGAAGAGGCCATGAAGCCGGGCTCCCTGGCCGTCTGCGCAACCTCACCCTGTTGGCGAACCCAGAGAAAAATTAACCATGCCATGAATTTAGATAGCATGGAGACCGAGTACAGCAGGGAATTTGACATGAAGATTGGAAAGCATTCCGAGCGAGACTCAGAATATGAAACTGGGTTCTTTCGTTGCGGAACACCTAAACGCTAGTAAAGCAATAGAAACAAAACCCAGAACAATCTTTAGATGTCGTTCGGCATGCGGCACACAGCGAACTTGAGACAACATAAGCGAGAGAAGCCAGAGGAATGCAGGGGGGGGGGTCTACGGCAAGTCGTCGCGAGAAAGCAATAGACATCCATCGACATCTGAAGAAAGCTGAAGAAGAGAGAAGGCAGAAATCACACTTATTTGAAGAAGCCGGTCAGATTTCCACACAGCTTGCGAATCCAAATTTGAAACACGCAGACACCCGAACAAATCTGAATCGAAGGACGTCTCGTTCATACATCAGAGGCACTCGGTGTCCATAGTGGCAACGACTTGTTGTAGCGCTCGCTCATGACTTCAATATCTCCAGATCAGCACGACTGAACATGAATTTGACAGACAAACGCAGTGATAGCAATGACGAATAGATGGTGACTGTGAGTGCTAAGAGGAGGAGGAGGACGACGATGATGATGATTGCATGCAACTTGCAGACTGGAGTGCACGGAGATGCCAGCAACCACCCTATGTTAGAGAGTACTGTTATTCCCACGTCTCGCTGGGAAACTGGTGGTGGTCTGTGGATTGTCGATGCGCATGGGAGGATACAGCTTGAACTCGCATTTTGCCAATGCCACCATGCGTTGGGTGGGCAACAGATGCTCGTTGATCGGAGCAGATAGATGAAGGGTCTCCCAAGAACATCTGAGGACCCTCTGACACCCTCTGTGAACTAGCTTCCCGCCGGACAGACACGTGCTTGAAGAGCCTAGTCGCTGCATTGTACTTCTCGAGTTTCGTGTCGAAGCACGGCGACACCTCTATCTTTCGGTTCGTTATGGGTCCGTGTCTGTCTTTAGCAGTCTCGCAGGGTGTTCAGAGACGAGAATCCCACAGAGATTATGATGATGGTGATTATGGTGACAAGTGCCACTATACCATCATCGTCATCATGACGCCGACGACAGCGGTCGGGGGCAGGGAGAGCAATCGCATCCAGTCCTCTTCGCTCTGTTCCTGCCCGGGTCTCCCGGGGTCCTCCGAGGCGCTGCGCCGAGCTCCGGAGCCGGCAAGAGTCGGCCGCTCTCAGCGCCCCGGGCTCGGAAGACGGGACGGACCTTGACAGTATACAACAGCTCCAGATTCGTAAGATCTTGGGGGATTGGGAACTGAGCATTGGTGTCCGTGTGTCGATATGTCTCAGACAAACCCGCCGTCTGCATAGGGAGGAGCTGTTGATGTAGTCAGTGGCTTCTGAGGTCCTGGTGCAAGCACATCTGCAGCTGAAGGACGATGGTTTGCAGAGTCAAGAGCGCCTGCCTGGACTTGCTTTCTGTGCGGTTGTCATTTTTGTACAGTCTTGAGTCAGGGGATACCTCGTCTTTTTTTCGGCTATTGGCACCACACCCCCCCAAAGATAGAAGACAGTGCTAGAAAGTTTTCATTCGTATTCCCGATGCCTGTATCTATCCAGATGCCATAGCCCAAACATGGCGAGGAGTTCCTCGTAGAATTTCGGTTAGGGTTTGGGGTAGCGGTAAGCATTTGCTTTGGCTCCTTCTCCGTTCATGTTATGCGTATAATAGATACTTGTACAATATAACATAGTTCTGCTACACAAGAGAAACAAGAATAAGCTGTCCAGAGTAAAGATAACCGAAGTGGTGAAGCAAGTGACAGAGTGCCCAGACACATGTGAAGGAAAGACGAGTGACATGATGTCCGCACCTGTTACAAACAACCCTTTGAAACCCAAGGTGTAGGCAAAATCAGTAAGTGTAGAACGCACGGGAGAACAACGAAATGTTCCAGTCCCACAGCAACCTGTGGCACAATTGGCACCAACCAAGCCCAAAGCCCCGCCTCCCGTTTCAAAAGCGATGCCACCCTACCCTAAACGCTAAACCCTAAACCCTAAACCCTAAACCCCAAACCCCAAACCCCAAACCCTAGCCCGTGCCAAACATGAATCCCTATGACAACTTGACCCAAGCGCAAGCGTTTCAGTGGCAGTTCCGAGCAGTGAACCGAGAGATGTGTCAAGCTACGTTCAAATCTCGTTCTAAAATGTCTAGGTAAATAGTCTATAGCTATTTTATGCATTAAACTTCAGACAACAAAAGCGACAGAAAAAACGCAATCCTGTAGTAAATGAAGCATCCGAGCTAAATTTCACACAAGCCTAGCGTTGTGCACTGTGGATGCACGAGTGACGAGAGTTGCCAATCTAGCACTTGAACTCAGACTGTTAGAAAGGCGAATGCAAGACAACTGCACAATGGAGATTGACAGATTCAGATCAGAAATGCACAACCTAGAGCTTCTGAAACATCCATAGAACACTTACAGAACAGAATATTTTTGAAGCATCAAGTGAACGAGTTTTGTGCAATGACATGTTCTATCACAGAAAGATCTAGATGCGAAGACATCTTAGAACTTGTCAATGATATCGAAGAAGGATTGAAGCCCTTTGCTAACAGAGATGCGGTGTTCCGGCTAGTAGCACACTTTCTGGTCTAACAGGCATTCGCATTACATTCCCTTCAAAAGTAGCTTATTTTTGCAAGCAGTCGGCACGCCGAACCTGAACACACTTGGATAGACACCCAAGCATTGGGAATAAGAAATTTCCTCAGATTGTGTTTCATGTTTTGGGCTGGGTCGTGCTTTTCTGCGATAGTTCTGAATTATCATCCGAGCTACTCCTCGCCGAGTTGGGCAAAGAAGCATGGCTGAACAATTCACCTCAACGGAATTGAGGAAGTAGGATGTGCAGCACCAGCAGCAGCTTCTGTTATAGCAGCGGAGGTGGAGATGTGATAGGTCGCAGCTATGTTAATGGCGGTGCCGGCAGTAGTGGTCGCCGCCCTGACACTTCTGGATGCAGTCGTGCAGCAGTGGTCATGCTAACCGCTGTCGAGATACTACCACTTCCAATTTCTGAGTGCGTGCAGTGAAGATGCTAGAGAGTCCTTCGGCTTGCCATCGGCGCAGGACAGGTCCAAGAACTGGATGAACGCACAGCTCCAAGATGGGCCGGGCCGTAGAGATTTGCAGGTAAGGGCCACTTTCTGCCAGGAGGAAGCAGCGAAGGCTGTGCAGCTGGCCAAGGACGGCTCTCGCCTCAGGCGCCAGAGGCCATCTCAGTCTTTTGCGGGAAGACTCTTGGAACTCCTATCCCAGAACCACACCTTGAAATTCAGGCTTGGGACTTAATTGTGCCCGGCCCGATCCGAAGCCCCACCTCCCATGAACACCCGTAAGACCCTTGCTTCCACGCTGTGCCGAAACCCTTTCATGCCCCCCGATGCATCCTTTCCTTATCGACCTCTTTGTTTCTCGAAGCGAATCTCAGGCTATGATCGGTTTCGAGAATTAGGCGAGCGCTTCGGACAGGCGCGCCCTGTCCTTCTGACCAGGATCCGGGTTTCTTGGGTTCGGAAACTCCCATGCGGGGGCTCCCGGAAAGCTCTTGATTAGGAGGAAGGGATTGAGCAGAGACGATACTTGGGGGTTTCAGTAACAGTGTTGGGTTGACAGAGCGTCTTGACGAGAGCCTGCCTGGTGGAACAGCCTGGCCAGGCCGCAGGCTGCTTCAGGGAGAAGCCTTGCATTGCAAGAGGGCATCTGGAAGTGACGATTCTGGAGATTTTTGGGGGTTACCAGGTGCTCACAAAGCCTGTGGGGATCCCCCCCAACCGGTCTTTTTCTTTTGAGATCTGCGGCGGGTGTAGCTTCTGCTTAGCCAGGAGCGCACGGAGGCAGATTGACATCCAGGATACGGTTTTTTGCTAAATTTCTTGGTCATGCTGCCAAGAGGCCACGAGAGGCCGCGATAGGATTCATGTGTGGCAAAGTTTCCGAGGCGGAGGTAAAGCTACTCCGGGCTTCAAGCCTCGGCTTTAAAAAAAGCCCCAAAGAACCGGCAGCCGGAAGGCAGCCCGGTGTTCCCAAAGCTCCCCTTTCGAGGCCTCCTCCCTGCATGCGCTCGTCCTGGCTCACCAAGCTCGGGACCGCCTTCTATCGCCAGGGGGGCGGGGGGCCTTTTTTGCGAAGTGGCCAGAGTTGTTGCCATTAAGGATGCTGCTGCCGCCACTCCTCCTCTTCCTGCTGCTGCAACTGCTGTTAGGGTTTGGGGTTTCGTTAGGGTTTAGGGGCTACTCCTACTTCTGCGGCTGCTGCTGCTCCCCATCTGCTGCTGCTAGCGGCAGCCGTAGAAGTCCTCGTCGATTTCTCGGCGGCGCCTAAGCACTTCCTTGTCTGCAGGACGAGAAAACCCTGGCTCTGCAAGCTGCCGAGCAGGCTGCGGACATTTACAAGGCAAGAGGGTCTTGAAACACAAGACCGGAGCTTCAGCAGAAGTGGTGCATTTTTGAGCTTAGGGCTTAGAATTAGAACTTAGAATGATTGAAGCTGCGACGCGAAGCGAAGCGTCGCTTCACTTGCCGTATTGGCCTTCTTTTGCCCTGCGAGCGGGAGACGAGCTCGGAGGGAAAGGCTGGCCAAAGACTGGAGAAGAAAGGGCCGTGGAGTTTTTCTGACCTTCCTGGCAGATGCGAGTAGGTCGGAACTAGCCGCGGCCCTCATTTTGAGCAGAAGCTCATAGGGAAGGAAGTACTCGGATGCTTTTTGCGAAGCCAGAGAAGCTTGGAACACTCGGACGCCTGAAGGAAATCGGCGAGAAAGCCCCGACCTCGGCCCGCCGCACCGCGGTGCGGCATCGTAGGGCTTCTGAGCCATGCTCCTCCACTGACGGGGGTCCGAGCCAAGGGTGGGGAGACCGCGATGTTGCTCATCCTGTCGCAGCCGGAGCCTCCGACACCGTTCCTCGCCCTCCGGGAGATTGGGACGCTTTCCGAAGGTTGCACCTGGAGACTGCCCAGCCCGAGAAGGCCTTCCAGGTCGCGCGGGGCTCTCAGTGCGAAGAACAGATAGTTTTGATTTGATGCAGGAGTGGTTTGCTTTGCCGAGGCAGGAGATCGCCTCCATGGAGGTTTCGCTCCACGAAACTGCCATCGCGCAGGAGACCGTCTACGAGGCCCGACGTCACGCCATCCTGCCGACGAGACCTTTCACGCTCTTCGCGCAGATCAGCGGCTTAGCCCCCTTGCGTGGCAGGCCTTCCTTCAGCAAGGCGACCTGGAAGAGGTGGCATGTTTTCAATTCGAAGGCCATTTTCTTCGAAGGATGCCTCGGCCAGGCTATGAAGACGGCGCAGGAGCTGGTGAGCCTCTGCAATGACAAGAACGACAAGAAGCGAGAGGCCAGGGTCGGTGTTGGGCAAGCAGAGCTGGCGACCGCATACTGTAGGTGTAAACTCGTGTATGTCATTTTGTGCATATGCACACACGCACACACGGACATGCATAGCTATCGACATACATATATATATATATATATTCACATATATATATATATGTACAGAGACACAGCATCTGCATGTGAGCACCTGAACATGGTGAGCAGTCCATTCTTTTGCCAGGCTATCGCACGACTCATGGTGGCCAACATTCACTACACTCAGCCTCGTGGCTGCAAGAGCCTTTGGCCACGTGATTTGCGCATCTGATATTGGTGCTGCTCTGGCAGGAAGGACTTTACCCAGGCGGTGATGGTCTCCCGAGAGGCCTGCTACATGTCGGGAGGGCAGGCGTTGTGAGCTCCGAGTCAACTAAATCCTGGAGACTTGGGCAAGTTCTTCTGTGCACAGGCACAGGCGCTGCTGCACGACATCGGCGCCTACGCCGACGAGGAGCATAGATCCGTGATCTGAGCTGGGTATCTGAGAGATTTCAACACAGCTGCGTTAGACCTGTGAAAGACAGGCATCCATCTGTAACTGAAGCCCTTGTCGAAATCCTGTAAAACATGGCAAGACATGCCGCAAGGAGAACCGTGAGTTTGCGTCAACGAACAGAGCTTATGTCTTACCCTGGAGGCGTCTGCACTGCGCATCGTGGCGGAGGCCATCACAATTCCGATTATTGGATAGATGGCCCTTTATGAGACTGACGTTGAGGGCAAGGAGTTGCAAGAAGAGCGCAGCGCTGTAGCGTTGGAGCCGGCCCTTCCATTGAAGACTTCCAAAAGCTTCGGGCAAAAGCCTCGGCCAGGCGTATCTGGCAAATGGCGAGCTCCCTCAGGTTGGACATTTTCCGTGAAGGAATCTCCGAGTCTCAGGTGTTGATGAAACCAGCACTTTGTTTGCAGGCGCTGAAGGCCGCCGACAGGGTGCCGGCCTTGTCTGAGCTGATACGATGATCCCAGTGTGACGGTGCTGGCTCCCAGTCTGATTGTTCATCGCTCGGGTTCTTATGACGACACAGAAGCCTCCAAGAGCCCCCACCCCCTTCTACCCGTCTGCCAAGTCCGTGCGACTTTTCCGGGGCAAGCAGAAAGACTCCGAGGAGGCTCCCCCCCGGTTCGGAAGATCACAGAAGTTTTAGGGTTTGGGGCTGCGTAGGGTTTGGGCGAGGATATGCTACACGCCACGGCATAGCATGGTTTTCCGGGTCGTGGTTCAGCATGCCACGAAGTGCGGCATCTTGATGCCTCGTCAGGCGCAGTCCCTACAAGTCGTGGCCACGATCAAGCTGCAAGTTCTGGCCCAGGCGCAGCTGGGACTGGGAATCTGGGCGCAGGCCGACAAGAGGCTCGATGAAGTTCTCAAGCCGCGACCGTCGCCTTGAAGAGTTCGTTAATCGAAAGCCGAAAGTTCCGAAAGCCGAAAGGACAAGATCCGGGCCCAGCGCGGGGCCCCGGCCTTCGCCACGGCGCTCGCGGACGCCGAGCAGGCGGCCCGGAGCCCCAGCGCGCGCGCGGGCCACGCGGGAGCGCGGGCCGCGAGTCGGGGGGTCGTTTCGGTTTGGGGAGGGGCACTTCCTCTTCTTCCGCGCGCTTTTTTTTCTGCGGGGCGGTTGGCGGCTGCTTTCCCTCAGGCCGAAGCGGCTGTCAGCTTTGCGCTTTCTCCTCAGATCAGATGGCATGCTGAGCTTTTGCTGGGCGTTTCCTCGAGCTCGCTGTTGCGGCCCTCTGAGGCGGAAGAAGCGCTTCAACCAGCAGCTGGGGCAGGCGCCATCTTCCGAAAAGACCGCAGCCTTGGGCCCCGTTCTCCGAGGCTCTGCTCATCGCCGGCCAGGTGCAGCTCACGGGCCTCCGGTGCCGATCTCGGCTCTTCCACCATCCACACGGCTACTTTGAGAGTTAGGGCCGTGGCTGAGATTTTTGGGCCGAGGTGCGACGATGCCCTCAAGACAGCAGAGGAGGCATGCGCTGAGAGCACCTGTGCTTCATGCGCTGCATCGGTCTCTTGCCGGGCAGGCCATGGCGATCTTCGAGGAGTTGGGCAGCGAGCGGGACAAGGCCAACGTGATGTGCCTGGAGGCCACCGCTGCTACATGCCGCGATTGTCTCCGGGTGCTGTGCCAGCCTGTGAACACTGTCAGGCGGATGCCCACTTCACCAACGGCAATGCCAACAAAGCCTTGGTGATTGTCAATAAGGTGCCGACACGAGAGCACAGTCGCCGCCTGAAAAGTCTCATCCGCCCATCTTCCTGGTGAGGCCTTGGCGATCTTCCAGGAGTACCGAGACTCGCGAGGCGAGTGGATCGCGTGCTCGGCTCAGCAAGGGCGAAAGCCCCTCCGCTGCTCCCCTCTCTGGCACCTTTCCGAGGATGAACATCCTGGAGCAGATCACCGGGCCACCCGAGGCACGCCAAAAGGGGCTGAAGAGCCCACCTTCAGCCCGCACCTCCCTTCGGCTTCCAGATGGCGGCTATAGCCTTGCCGCGGATTTTCGATGAGCTGCATATTCAGCCCTCAACGGCATGCCGTGCAGCATTTCCTTGGTTGGATAGAAAGATGGGTTCAGTATCCGAAACAAGTGCGTGATCTATCAAATATTCACTTACATGGGCTTGCTTGTAGTTCTCACCTAGCTTCCGTCGTCATTCTTTGGTGCTTTCTGCTCCCCATGCTGCAGCAGGCAAACAGACGTTGGGAGAGATATAAAGCTTGGTCATTGGTGCTGCTTTGCCTGGCCACGGTTTGCTGGGCAGGAGCAGCCCCTTCCGGGCAATGAGTGGACACCAGAGCAGTGGGCAGAGTGGCAGCGTTGGCAGTGCGGCACCGAGAGCAGCTGCCAAAAGCAAACGCTCAGCCTTGAAAGTCGAAGCTTCTTGCTTGCTTGCGAGGCAGTCACAACAGCAGCAGCAGCAGGGCGCCGGACAAATGCCGCAAGCGCTTCAGCGCCAGCAGCAGGCTTGCACGTGCTTGCACGTGCTTGGCTGTTGGGCCATGGCGCGTCGGACTCCAGGAGCCGCGAGCGAGAAGACGAACCGATCCGGGCCAGAAGCGAGAGACCAAGTTTCGGGACGACCGCGCCGCAGAGCTGGAAAGCCATTCCGCTCTTGCGGAAGTCTCGCATGTCGGCTGTCGGCCTTGAGGCTGGACATTGCGAATGTCAGCTCGGGGCTCGGGGACGAACCCCTCCCCCCCCCCCTGCAGTCAGTCTCCTGTGGTCACGGTCCTGCGGGTCCCGCTGTGCTGAAGGCACCGACACAGTTCGGAAACGCGTCGAGGAGATCGTGAGGTGGACTTGCGATTTCCAGGGACCGGCTTCGTCTTCGAGGGTTTGTCGCATGAAAGGTTTACAGCCGACTTGGACGACTCCGAGCAGATCGACCTCGATCAGCCCTTGATGCAGGTGGGAGACGAAGACTTCATAGGCGCTCTTTTCGTTGGCCTTTCCTTCGACCTGGGCTCTGCTCAGGTCGGCGTCACGAGCCGCACTGCCGTGGGCCTTCGGAACATGCTCAGCGAGGAGGTGGCTTTAGGGTGTGCGGCTCTGCTCCCTCTCATCCCTCCAGTCTGCATTTCGCGTGTCCAGATGCCTGGTGTGGACTTGCCGTTTACGCTCATCTTCGATTACCCCTCCGTGGCCTCCATCGCCGCTGCCCGGCTGAGATGGGATCCCGCTGGGCCTCTTTACGTGCCTAGATTCACGTCTGAGGATCACGTTATGGCCTGGGCCTCAGGTTGGGCTCACACGGACGCAGCTTTTCGGTCGGAGCTTGAAATCGCTGCCTGACAGCTGTTGGTGAGCCAGTCATGGTGGTAGGAAGTGACAAAAATCAGGCCGCACGGGCCAGCGACGCTAGGGAGCGGACGTGGCACGAACTGCATAGCCAAAATGTGATGGAAGCCAGAGGTCTCTCCGAGTCCTGCCGAGCTCGTAATCTTCTGTTTGTCTGTGTAATTCTGTGTACTCTAACGCCTCCAGCGCAGTCATGGATGTCTTTTCACTGTTGCGGCGCGGTCTGAGTGGCGACGTCTGCGAGTCGCTGAGCTTCGCGCCGCTGCGCGAGGCTCTGGGACTTCGGGACATGTACCTGTGTAGGTGGGAGCTACTCCACACTCACCACATGCATCAACTCAACAGCTTGCCGGGACATTCTGGCTTGGTGATGTAGATGTCAGTTAGTCTACACTCAGCACATGCATCAGCGGCTCGTTTGGACATCACGGGACACAATGCTTGGTGTTGCGGTTGGTTTAGGGCATCAAAAGCGGATGGCTGCAGGTGGCACCTCTTGTCCACAGCTTCACGGGCTCGCTGCCAGAAGTGCTTCTGCAGAGCTGTCGTGCAGAGAAGCTGGAGGCGGGAGTGGAGGAGATTCACCTGCTCTCCACGCATTTCTGGACACTGGTCGGTGTCTGGAGTGTGTCTGGTGTACTCTGAGATCACTGAACGGAGAGGAGCGTGCTCGTCACCCCTCTTCTGCTCTGCACATCCCTCTATCTTTATCGCTGCCTTTGTCCTTTCTGTCGGCCTGCGTCTCAGCTGGAGGTGGACTTGGTTCGCTTGGCTCAGCTGCTGGCAGCACGCTTTCTCAACGACCCTGGGCCGCAGCACACAGTCACGAGCTGCAGCGGCCCTTTCGAAGCTCAGGAGTGCCTTCAACTGCAGCGGGCCTCCAGCGAGATGCGCTTCGCCCTGGAGGAAGCCACCGAGCAGCCACTCCGCTTTTAAGCGTGGTGTAAGCCGTGCGGGCTTCGCTTCGCTGCCAAGGCCCGGACGGACGGAGACCACGGCGCCGCAGCTGCAGTCCCTGGAGCCCGAGCCTTAGAGCGGGCGAGCGTGGAGAAAGCGCCCGGCCGCCGCCCCCGTTGCTCGGCCCCTCGCCGAGGCTCCCGAGGCTCCGCGCGCGCTGCAAGGACGGGCCCCACCGTCCGGGTATAGAATTTCGTGGGCTGCATGACAAGGAGCTGGAGCGGGAGCTGGAGGAGCGCCGGGAGCGTAGCCCGAGGAGTGGCGCAGACGGCACCCTCGACGAAGCGGAGGCGCGGCAGGGAGCTCCGAGAAGTGAAGTGAATCTTCCCGAAGACACGGAGAGCGTCGCGTCTCAAGGGGCGGATCGGTTTTTTCCGCGCGGATGACAGGCGCTGCGCGCGGCCCTGGGCGGGGCGAGTCCGGGCGCAGCTCAGTGCAGCCGCTGCCAGGCCCGGGCCCCTCCTAGTCTCCGCCAGAGGGGCCTCTGCTTCAAAAGCGGGTTCTCGCTGCCTCGGCTCCGTGGAGGCCCTGGAGGCCAAGCTCCGAGAGCAGGCGCGCCCGCGGCTCGCAGCCGGGCCTCTTCTTGGGGACTCGTGGTGGGACTCTCTTTGTCTCATATCTCTGTAGGAAGAGAGGCTGCTGGAACGACAGCTGGAGCCGGCGTCCGGCCGCGTGAAGGTTCGGGGACGAGTCCGTGGCACGGATGCGCCTTTGGCCGCTCTGCTGCCAGGAAGCAGCCCCTGCGGATCCGGCACTCGCACGGCTCCTGGTGGGTGAGGCCGCAGTGGCCAGCTGCCAGATCTTCAGGTCGCGATTTTACAAAAGAACCCGGCCGGAGGCGCCGCCTGTGGTGCGGCGCCGTGCTGCTGTGGTGCTCCAGTCAGCTTGGCGGCGACGAGCCGCGGTGCTGCGCCGAAGCCTGAAGTGCGAAGTGGAGAAAGTTGGAGAACGGGAAGGATAGTGACTCGTTGCGATGCCGAGGCTTCGAGCGCCACTTGGTGGGACTCGTCTTCCCTGCCAGGCCACCGTACCTAGGTGTGCACAGCGAAACCGTGTGCAGGTCCAGAGTAGGTGCGCACCTTTATCGCCTGCACCATCCTCATGTATATAATTGAGGCATACACACGTGACATCAACATCAAGTGACCATGATGACGACATGTGACGACGATGACAAGAATGATGATGATTGTGATGATGATGATGACGACGACGACGACGACATGAACATGTCAACCGTTTCTACATGTGCTTGTGAGCGTGGTGATCGTGACTCCTTCGAGGGAATGGTGGCGATTTGAGGCTAGGGAATGGTGGCGATGGTGTCGCAGTGTGATTTGTGGGCCAGGAATGATGGGCGAAAGCTGAGTGGCACCGTCGGCTCTGTTCGGCTGGCACAGGACCCCTGGGAGTGCGCAATAGTAAGCTCCAAGAAGCTCGGCTTCGCGTTGCATTACGAATCATGAAACCTGGGGCTGTCGCTTCCTTGACGACCTTCAAAAGGGTGTGCAAAGTCTTACAGTCCTGAGAGTTCGGCGAGTTCTGAGACTAACCTGAAAGGATCATCACCGTGCAGCATGCCTCTTTGTGGTTTGTTTCGGATTCGGTCCGGCTGCTGCCAGGCTCTCGCAGCCCGGGTCTTCCGTGCGCTGCGGCGCCGAGGGCTGGACTTCGAGGTGCCCAGATTTCCGGATTCTTTCCGGCGTGTTTGGGATCGGCGGTCGTCCTGAAAGAGAGTGTTACATTGGCGGGTGCAAAGACAACTCGGCTTTGCATGCAAAGAAGCCGTGTCAAAAAGTGAATCATTGGGGGCCCGAACCCCTTCATCGTCATTGGGATCACCATGTGGCCTTCTTGGCTTGACAGCCACTACTCACTACTCTACAGGGAGCACTGCGAATTGCTCACTCTTTGGACCAGCCTACTCTGAGCGCGCCGATGCTTGCAGGCCGCCTTCCGCTGTGCAGACACAGGCTCCTTTTCCAGTCTTGCCAGGGGTGTGGCAGTGACTTTGAAGTCTTGTTATCCACCGGTTTGCTGTTACCGCTTTTGAATTTTTGGCTGTTAGCGCGCTTCGCGCGGGGGGCCACCGCGGCCGGGCAAAGCCGGGACTAGAGTCACATGAAACCCTTGTGATTCTCGTCGTTTCATCATTGCGAGTACTCGGAATCTGGTACATCAAGAATCACGGGTCGGAGTTACCTCTGCTGCGTTTTGTATCAAGTTTATTACTACAGAAAGTACTATCCGCAGTACAGCGCCGACCACGACGACCACGATGACCACGACGAGAAGGATGACGACGGCGACGACGACGACGAAGCTGATGGCCCTGAAGGCTTTGGGATAGTTTTGGGTAGTCCTCGAGCCTCGATAAAAGCCCGGCCATCTTTCAACCATGCAGTTTCAGCCAGACCGGCACGGATGGTTTCGCTCCTTCGAACCGTTCGCAGCTCTGGTCGCCCGGGTCATTGCACCAGTGCAAGTAAGGCACAGTTCTGCAGCTTCACGAGTTCCGCAAGACTACTTCTCGGCAGTACGGCTGCCAGCAGAACGGCCATCATCATAGTTTTTCAACTATACCGATGGTCGTCAAACCATGTGTGTGCGTGTGTACAACTACAAGAGACCAGCTTTGCTTGATTTCTCGAAGCTATTGTGAGTGCTTACCGATAAGGCTACGAAGACGGTGATGAGCACCCTTCGGGACGCATCCGTGTAGGCTGGGCAATAGCGGGAGATCACTTGATGGAAAGGGCTGAGCTGCCTGGCCCCTGTTTTAGGTCAGTTTCTTCTTTTCCTCTGCCGCCAGCCGGGCCTCGCGCTGGCCCCTGCGGAGTCAGCGGCTCTGTACCTTGGCCTTGGCAGCGCCGATCAACGTCAAAATCTCCTGCACCTCTCACGATGATGCTGATCATCACCCTCACCTCGCGTCGTAGGAAGGGACGCTTGTGGTTGCGAGCTTCCTATAGGGTGTGTCAGCACAGCCCTAAGAGCCACAGCCTTCACCCAGAAGTGAGCCCTGCGGCCCTGCCAGGCTCCGGCTGCTGAAGCGCCGCGACCGCGGGAACCGCAAGGCCTCCGAGGAGAAAGCGCCGCCCTCGGCCGAGGCCTCGGACTCCTCGGGGCTGGGCCGGGGAGCTTTGGAGCGTGCGTCCCTTCTGCGCCCCGAGGCGTCCACGGATCTGCAGGAGGCCGGAACCCAGCCCCAAGACTCTCCCCCCCTTTGGCTCGGCTCGGCTGCTCTCCAGGCCTGGCGCTGGGAGATGCCCTATGACTTTGCGAGGCAGCTGCAGGCGCGCGGCCGGGACGTCAACCCTGGGGGTTTTGGGTGTTGAGGGCTGAGCGGACTCTATGAGACTCGAAACGGAAAGTCTGGGGGGGGGTTCCTTTCTTTCTCTGATCTCAGCGGCGATGACGCAAGCCCTGGGTTTTCTAGATCCTCAGATGGCTTGCAGCTCTGACTTCGTCCTTTGGGGATTTCCGGAACTTGTGTGAAAATGTGGGTCTTTTCTGCAACTGCGACATGATTGTGTGCCATACCCGACTCCTCTTCTCTTCAGAATCCTGTGATTTCGTCTGGCAAGCGAGCCATCGCTGGGTATAGCCTACCATTCGAGCTGAAGGGACCCGGAACTGGCCCGGCAACGTCCCGCCGAACAAAGCTCACGCGGAATGGTCTGAAGGTGATTGATTCGGGGTTTTATGATGGTATCAGGAACAGAAGGAACTTTGTATGGTGCCAGAGGAAACCAACTAGTAGCGATATCTCGAAGTTTGACGGGTGAGCTCAACTCACAGGTGCTGCACTTCTTGCCGTTACCTCTTGTGACTGTGACCTTTGTTATGGCCTCTGAGACTAGACTAAGTAGACACAGTGACAGCCAAAACTCAAAAGCGTCAGGGGAGGTCGGTGGAGTAGGGAGACGGCGGAAGAGAGAAACGGCGCGAAAGAAGAGAGAGACTTCGTTCTTTTAGCCTCCGAGCCCTCTTCTTTCGGCAGGCCGCCGCCTCGCGCGACGTCGGCCCCGCCCCGGCTTGCGAGGCGGGGAGCAGAGGGAGCGCAAGGACGCGTTTTGTGCGTTGCGTCCCTGCGTCCGTCCCTGCGCTTCTGCTGCCTGCCAAGCGCTTCCAAGCTGCCTCTGCCCCAGAGGCCCTGGAGGCGGTGGCGGAGCTGCTGCGGGGCCGGCGCTGTCGGTTTCTTTGGGGAAGCGACGCCGCGAGCTGGGATCGACTGGTCAGGGACGCCCTCTTGCTGCAGCTGCTCGAGGAGCGCGAGCGCTTGCAGGCAGCCATCGAGGACCGAGCTGCGACGGGCAAGTCGGGCACGGCCGCGGGAGCAGCTGCGGCCTTCCTTAGCGGTGAGCTGGAGTGCCAGCTGGCAGATTGTGAATCTGACATGAAGGCGGCGCTGCAAGGACCAAGCCCCCCAGTCTCGGCTACGGCTTTCACGGCGAGGCTGCTGCGAGAGCAGCTTCCGCTGGCGCCAGTGACGCTGCACGCGGCTTCCCGGGCGGCTTTGGAGGGTGCTGGCGGTGGCATTCGCCAGGGACAGGTTCTGGACAATCTTCGGCAGCAGCAGGAGCTCAAAGGCAACCTGGTTGGCGGCTTCGTTCGCTTCCAGCAGCCGCTCTCGGCCAGCCCGAGCTTGATCCACATCACTGCGACGCGTCCGGCGTGGACGTTGCGCTTGAAGGAGCTATCGGAAAGAGGCATGCTGGTTCAAATCTCTCCTCTATCACCCGCCGGCTGGAAGGACACAGTTGTCTTGAAGACCATGCGGAGCTGAAAGCTCTATCTTTAGCTCCATATGCTCCGTGAAGCTTTCGAGCATCACAGTTGTTTTTGTTGGGTGGGGGGGCCTTTGCAGTGCCAGCGCCACAACTGTCTGTGCAGGAGGATCTCCAGCTCGCCTATTGCGCTGGGTCCGCGGAGGGGGTGCAGCACATCGGACCCAGCAAGGGCATCCGCACGGTGCAGGCCGCATCCGCCGCCACTTCTCTCGTATGCATTTCCCAGATTTTCGCCTCTGTGCAGCGACTCTTGCCTCCTGTTCGCCTGTAGGTGCACTTCATCCCCCGGCTCACCCGCACGCCGGAGCTGGTGGCTCTGCAGACCTACATCCGTCAGCGACAGGGCGCTCCTTCGGGTCCCGCGCCTGCGCGGCCTGAGCCTGAGGCGGTGCTTTGCCAGCTGGGCGGCTTCGCAATCGCTGCCAGCCTTCCTGGAGACGGCGACGGCCTGTCCTTGCGCGCCGTTCGGACTGGCAAGGTCGTGGAGGAGACCTCGGCGCAGGCCACCTTGGGGCGGGGCAAAGTGGCCTTGGCTCTTGCAGCTCCGACTGCTGTCGGCGAGCTGGAAATCAAAGCACAGTGGGAGCCCACTGCCGAAACGGAGACGAAAGAAGCTAAAGCCCATGAAGGGGAGAAGCCGGAAGTGGGAGATTTTCTCTCGATGAGTCGGGTGAAGGTGGCGAGAGCCAGCTTGCGTGGCTTCGCCGTGCTCTTGCACCGGGATGCCCAGATGCTCCAACTGTGGTACGAGGCCGTGTGCTCAGATGCCACGACCTCCGCCAGGGCGCTGCAAGCCCTGGCAACTTTGCCGGAAGCCGAGAAAGACGAGGAGGCCCAGCGCAGCAAAGGTCTCCAAGCATTGAGCTTGGAGCTTCCAGAGCCGGAGATGCCCTGGAGCCCGGAAACTCCGGCCACTCAGCCGCAGATCGCATCGCGACTTCAACAATGAATGCATGTCTCTTCAAGGCACGCAGCCGCGGCGACGGCTTCACCGGCTTTACCACGTCCCAAAGTGGGCTGTGCCTCGGCGCCAGAAACTTGCAGATGTCCATCCGCCCACGGCACGAGAGCTCTGCGGTCCCTTCCAGGTCTTTGCCAGACTCCGAGGGAATGAGCTCTCAGCAAATGGCAGGCAGGTGGAAGCGATTTCATTCTTGTTTTGCCATTTTGCGAGTGTGCAGACATGGGTGCATTCAGACACTGATAGGATACAAGTATGTGACTGTGAATGCTGAATTCTTATAATGATATATATATATATATACACATACATACATACATACATACATACATACATATATATATACATATATATATATATATACGCACATACATACACACTACACACAGATACACACGCAACAGCAAACATATGCATGTGTTTGTATATGTATACATATATATATATGTGTGTACACACACGCAGAGGAAAACATGTATTTTGGTACCATATGGTATACGCATACTTTTAAGAATAGATGAACAAACACGCGCATACATGAATACATGCAGGAATGAACAGATCACTAAGTAAGTAAATGGACAAGCAATAAATGCATAAACAACAAGAAACTAAAACATGAAAACCTAGATACATGCATATGTATATATGTATGTATGTATGTATGTATGTATGTATGTATGTATGTATATATATATATATGCATATGTATGTAGATATACATCCACGTACATGCACACCCACATATACATACACATATAAATATACACACATACATGCACACATACATGCATGCATGCATGCATGCATGCATGCACATACATGTACACACAGACGGATACAGACACTTGCATTTTCACGTGTACAAAGACCAGACCAGCACACAAGTGACGGCTGCATGCAGACGCGACCACGTGCCTGCGCATGCACATGCCGCAGTCTTGAGAGCTCAGGGGAGGATATCCACGGCCAGCGCCGGTCCCCAAGGCCTCTGATGGTTGTGGAGCAGCCCATGGCAGCTCGGAGGTCACACAGCCGTCGCTTTAGGTCTCCGAGCTAGTTGTTTGGTGATTTGTCAGTCCTGGGCCAGCCGTCTGGGAGATACGGGGAGCCTCAGGCCACACTTGTTCATAACTTCGTAATCCATCACTGAGGCGCCGCACGCCAAGAGGAGATGACAGGTGCACTATCCATCTCGACCCAGGGTCTTCGGACCGACTCCTAATTCAAATTGCACGTGGGGCAGTGGTGCAAGCGCCCAGCTTCCCAGCGTCCTGACGCTGCTACGAGGCCCTTTGGCCTTGATGGCGAGCGTCCAAAGCGGCGCTCTTTGGAATCGCACCCGCCAGATCTGTTGTTCGCAGGCAAAGGGAACCTGCCGCAAGGCCTGAAGATGCCAAAGTGCCCACGACACGAAAGGGCCGGGCCGGATGAAACGCGCGCTCGTTTTTTTGTCGTATCGAGCAGCCATGAAAGAGTTCGCCGCTTGCAGTGGAGATGCAAGAGGGATGCCTGAATCTCCAAGGAGAACATGGGTGCCGTCGGCTGAGAGGCCTGGCACGGGGAGGCTTAGCCGCCTTCCGCCTTGGCCTCCTCTGAGGCTGCCCGTGAAATCCGTAGAAGGGGCAAAAAAAAAGGGCAAAGCTCCACAGGACGCCTCGGCAAAGCGGAGCCTCTGACGGCAGGTCTTCCCAAAAGGAGTCGCGCCCAAGTGCATCCATTGATAAGCTGGGAACTGCATGGGCACCGCACTGCTGCTCTCAGCTCTCATCTGCTTTCTGTCTGGGACGCCTCAGCTCTAAAGCTTTGCGGCACCCGGGCCCCTCCCGAATCTCTGCGGGAAGCTTGCGGCCGCGGCCTCAAATGGACGTGGGATCTCTGCACGCTGACCTCCGGCACCAGTAATGCTTCTGTGCAGGCTGCTGCGGCGACAGGATGGGAGGCATACGGCGGCGAGGGCACAGGCCGCGCCAAGAGTCGGGCTTTCAAAAGGCCCTGCCTGTCTTGCAGCGAGAGTTTCTGCTACCAAACACCATCCTAGCCAAAAGAGCGGGGTGGGGGCCCGGCTGTGAGCACGATTTCAGGAAACGGGAGCTTCAGTCTGAAGTCTGCTCACGATTTTTCCATGGCCATCTCTACCCAACACAAGACGATCATGACAACGGTTCCGGGATACCTCCGCTCACAGGTCTCACAAGGAAGAGGCCCGGCCAGGGGAAGACTTGGAAGGGTGTGGCATTTTTCAGGCCTTTTTCTGGGTACTGTATGTAGGGTTGTTTGGCTTCAACACCGAATCTCCCGACCCCCCCTAAAAGCGAAATAACAGCAAAAGACCCCTAGCTGCGGCAGTCTCTGGAGCGTAAGCCTTGAAGGGAGGGGGGCGGTCAGCCCAACACAAGTTGGCCCTCCTAGGGTAACTTCCGCAGTCCGGGCCGAAATTGAGGAGTCATCGTGACTCTCTTGTGGACACTTCAGAAGCGGTGATGCTCTGAACCCCTGCGCGTAGCTCTGGGAGCAAGACGCGACAGCCACTTTTGAGGTCAAATCTGCAGACGCCGCCCCTCTGGAAGCGCAGCTGGAAGGGAAGGTGGGCTCGAAGTCGGATGCATTGCCACATACATCTTCAAAACCCGTCCGTGGGCTGACCCAAAAAAGCGGAAGCCGCTGCCCCTCGCCCGGTGATCTTTGAGATTCTCAGCTTCAAAAGGCTCACCTCTTCCCGTATATCCGGAGAGGCCCGGAGCGCTCCCTCGAAGCGCTCGACGCGCAGCCTGCAAGGCGCCCCGGGGGGGCGGGGGGGCATCTCGGGTCATGTCGGGCCCCTTTTTTGGACGTGTATCCCTGTCGACTTGTTGTTGAAGCGCTCGATGACACCGCCGAAGCGAAGACGCCGCTTCTTCGCAAATGCTTTCGTCCTGTTTGTCTTCGTCAAGGCCGTGATATCCAGTGAGGGTGATTCTTCCCGCGACTAGTTGGTAGTGTTCCACTTTGGCAAAGTATCATGATCGTGGCCACTAGCACACCAAGAGTTGAAGAAGGACCCACTGTCTTCGCACTTGATCAGGTAACTAAACGAATTGGCGCCTGGGCTTTCAGTCCCGAAGCTGGCGCCGGCAAACGCCGAAAGCTCAAGGTTCCAAGTTCCACAAAAAGAAGCAAGACTCTGAACTCTGACGTCTTCAACCTTTGGATGGCGGCGAAAGATCGGTAGGTCAGATTGCAAGTGGGTCGGGTTCCCCAGCTGACTCATCTGGAGGCATCAAGCCGGATGCCGACGAGGCTGGATCCGCGTGGTCAGCTGTCTAGGGGTTTTCGATGGCTTTGGGATTCAGAGCCTTTGGGTTTCCTCGTTTGGGGTTTGACACTGCTGAACAGGGAGCCGTGCGAGCGAGGAGATTCCGTCCGAGTCGATGCGGCAGGTGCTCCAGTGCATAGAGAGTTTATATGTGGACAAGCTGAAGCCTTTCGGCCCTGTCCTTGGAAACCAGACGGACGCTTAACAGATGTCGCTGTCACGGTCCAGTTGCTGCAGGTCGAATCCTGCGAAAGCGCGTCGCAGAACGCCATGTCCAGATCCACCTCAAAGAGCAGCACCCATTTATGCCAGGAAAGCGAAGTGTGAAGCAGATAGTAGGTGTAGATTGCGAAGACAGAGAAGTAGGTCCAGCTTGTCGTGTTTACCGCGATTCTTGATTTCCCTTCAAGGGCGGCATGTTCCGGAGGAGCTGCAACAGAACTCCCAGACGTGGATATCAAGCACCAGCCCAAGCAATACAGCGACAGTCCATTGATTGTTGGTGCACTGCACTCCTGAGGCACCTGAAAGCTCTCTGTGACGACTCTGACCAGTTGGACATTGCGCCCAAGCCTCTGAGAGCGGAAGGGGGGGGGGAGCGAGTGCTCTGCTGATTTTTTTCTTTTCGCAGGCCAGAGGAGGGAGGCGACTGGTCCGCCACCTTTCGAGGCCGCGCCCAGGTCTTTGCCGGAACCCAAATGCGACTGGATTTGGCAGCGCCAAAAACGGCGCTGCGAAGACTCAGGTGGACATCTACAGTCCCGAAGACGACTACTCTCCCGAGACCTGGCAGGCTGCCAGAGAGTGCCTCCCACTGCTACCCACTTCCGGGACTGAGAGCGAGAGATCGGCTTCTGAGCTTCTCTCTGGGCCAGAGAGTCAGAGCGGGCCCCATCAAAGCTGTGCTTTGTTTGTTTTTACTACCTACCTCTCTCTCTCTCTCTGCTTTTCTCTTCTTCGGGAGGTACTTCGCCTCCTTGCCAGAAAGCGAGGCTTTGCTCCCCGGAGGTGGGGCAGGGGCGCTCCATGGGGATCTTTCCAAGTCCAAAGAGACTGTGGTAGAGGAGGAAAGGAAAGTAAACTGTTAGAGTAGTTTCTTGAAGTGATCATGTCGTCTTCCTCTTGGCTTTGATCCTGCGACCTGTGTTCAGGTCGCTACTCCTGTGCGCAGGCACTCGTCCAGAGGACGGGGCTTCTCCACTTCAAACTTAAGCATCTTAAGCATGCAGCACCTCTGACAGGGAGCTGCCATTCCTCGGCGGCTTTACGCTGGGCGAGGCGGGTGTCCCACCCGAACCCATGAAAAAAAGAAGCCTTAGCTTTGAGAGGTCTGCCACCTGGTGCAGCTGGCCATCTCAAAGCACAAGATCCTAGGCCGGAGCCGGCGAGTATAGTGCCTTGAGCTTTGAGCGGTTTTTTGGGGGCCTCATCGAGGCGCTTGAGATCTTGATCTGCCCTGCTTTCCCTTAACAGGCTACTGCAACGGCGCGGTGGTGCCTTACAGCCGATCTCAGCCCCGACCTGACCGCTGGGGATGGCGAGCTGTAGTCTGTTGGGAAGCTTCATGAAAGGCTCTAAAGTCAAAGTCTGAGTTGTCGCTTCGTCCCCGAGGTCCCGCGTGAAGGAGGAATGCGCCGAGTCACAGCAGCCGTGCACCTGCCCAGAGCCAGAAAGCATCATAAAAGCTCTCCCTCTCAAAAGCCTCCCAACCGCGAGGTGCATCGGCGCCCCCAACAAGGAGGATCCGAGCTCTTTGAGTTCACTGGCACTTGCCAGTCTGGAGAAGGCCCCGCGGCTCCTTCCAAGCGGAGCCCTTGCGGCTTTCTGCTGTCGTGGGAGGCCCGGGAGCACTTGCGGGAGATCCTCCGGGACGCCTCCTCCGCTCCCTCCAACTCGGGGTGCGCTGCACAGAGCTCCACGTCGCAGCGTTTTTTCTGCACGGGAGCAGAGCTTCTTTGAGAGAGAGCCGTCTTCGCATTTCGCATGTCTCACGTCACAAGAGCACAGGGATTCTCGGGCCTCGCTTTGGCGCGCCCCGAGCCGAGGCCTTCGATGGTCCCTTTGAGCAACGTGAAGCGCTTGTTCCGGTCCAGGTGGGAGAGCAAAAGTCGCCGAAAGCCCAACTGCCAAAGACAACGAACGAGGTACCAGATCGAGCTGAGCGAGACGGCACTGGGGCACTCGAAGCTTTCAGAGCTGTTGCCGGGGAACTCAGCAAACGAAGATCAGCGCAGAGCAACGCTGAAGGGAGAGCGCCACGAGGCAAGACCAGCGTTTCTCCGACATCTGCGAGGCGGGACCGCCGGCTTCTGCGGCACTTGGCTTTGAAGTGTTTGCACGGCCACTACCCTCCAGGTCCAGCTTCAGGGACAAGGTGGGGGCTCTGTGGATTTTGCAGATGGGGCGAGCGCTCGCTCTCTTGGAAGGCTACATCGTGGTGCAAGTCCAGGGGAAACCCGAAGCAGCCGACGCAGACACGGAGGCTTTGGCCGCTTGGGCCCGTGTCGGTGATTTTGCGCACTTTCCTGGGATTCTCCTCTACCTATCTCGGGTTTCCGAACAAATCCGAGGTCCCGAGCCGTTACAACGGAGGACCGATGTGGTCATGGCTCTGATGTTTCAGCCTGGGCCGATTTGAGTTGCGGCGGTTCCCTTCTGGCAAGGGCCCTTGTAAGCTCTTCTCGTGGCTCCATGTAGCGGCAAAGGTTCTCCGGAAACCTAAAGCTATTGAAGACTCTGATGCGCGAGACAATCCCTTCAATCCGTGCACACCACCCGGCCGAAGACAGCCGCAAAGGAAGCTTCCGGCACTAGGGCTGACGTTCATGGGAACATCAGACTTCTTTGGGGGTGGCTCTCCAGGTTTCAGGACACAGCAGGGCCGCCAAAGGCCCCTATCCTACAGTTCTATTATTCAAGATACGGCCTTGCAGTAGAGTTCTATTGTTAGGAGTTTGGCATGTCGATCACCGTTGAAGTTTCACTGCTCAGTGGCAAAACAGCCACTCTGCAAGCAGGCCCGGATGAAACTGTACATGCCCTGGGTCGACGGGCACAGATCGCCCTCGGAGTGGGAAAAGGGCAGCTACTGAACTCATCTGGAGGCATTCTTGACGGATGCATACCAATCAAGAAGGCAAGGATTCAGAATGGGGACTCGCTGACGCTGCAAATAAGCAGAATTCAGCTCCAAGCCACTGGCCGCGGCGCTTTTGTGGCGGTTCTTGGTGACGGATCCGTTGTGACCTGGGGCTCTGCTGCCTATGGCGGTGACAGTAGCGCTGTGAAGGGTAAGCTGGGCAATGTGCAGCATGTCCAAGCGACTCGTGGCGCTTTTGCTGCTATTCTTGGCGATGGATCGGTTGTGACCTGGGGTTCTGCTGTTTATGGTGGTGACAGCAGTGCTGTGGAGGAACAGCTGAAGACTGTGCAGCAGGTCCAAGCCTCCAACCGCGCTTTTGCTGCAATTCGTAGCGATGGATCGGTTGTGGTCTGGGGTCATGCTCGCTATGGCGGCGACTGTAGTGCTGTGCAGGGTCTGCTCAGGAATGTGCACCAGATCCAAGCTTCTGATGGGGCTTTTGCTGCCATCCTTGGGGATGGATCCGTTGTGACCTGGGGTGATGAAGTCTTTAGTGGTGGCGACAGCAGTGCCGTGCAGGGTCAGTTGAAAACTGTGCGGCAGGTCCAAGCCTCTGGAGGTGCTTTTGCTGCCATCCTTGGGGATGGATCCGTTGTGACCTGGGGTTCTGCTCACTGTGGTGGCGACAGCAGCGCCGTGCAGGGTCAGCTGAAGACAGTGCAGAAGGTCCAAGCCTCCAGATGTGCTTTTGCTGCTATTCTTGGGGATGGATCGGTTGTGACCTGGGGTAATGTCGCGTTTGGTGGCGACAGCAGTGCCGTGCAGGGTCAGTTGAAAACTGTGCAGCAGGTCCAAGCCTCTGCAGGTGCTTTTGCTGCCATTCTTGGCGACGGATCGGTTGTGACCTGGGGTCTAGATGGCTGGGGTGGCGACAGCAACGCTGTGCAGGATCAGCTGAAGCATGTGCAGCATATCCAAGCCTCTGGAGGTGCTTTTGCTGCCATTCTTGGCGACGGATCGGTTGTGACCTGGGGCGATGGTGATGGTGGCGACAGTGGTGCGGTGCAGCACAAGCTGAAGAATGTGCAGCAAGTCCAAGCCACTCCCGGCGCTGACGGTGAGCGTGCTTTTGCTGCTATTCTTGGCGATGGATCTGTCGTGGCATGGGGTAATGCCAAGTGTGGTGGCGACTGCAGTGCTGTACAGGGTCAGCTAAAGAATGTGCAGCAGATCCAAGCATCTTACCCTGCCTTTGCCGCTATTCTTGGTGATGGATCGATGGTGACCTGGGGTGACCCCGACTGTATGAATAGATCTGTGCTCGATTGAAGCTTTTTGAGCTTCAAGTTTCTAGGTGGGTTTATCACCCCTCGCAAAGGTTTGCAGAGTAATGTAGGAACCTGATTTAGAAACCCTGGCCCTATAACCCCAAATGCATTAGGGCTCACAGAACCCCAATAAAATCCCAGGGTTTCTTAATCAGGTTCCTATATTAATTACTGACCATGGCTGGCAAGGTCTGCAGAGTCTTAGGGTCCAAACTCGCACGCAAGGGCTGCGAATGGCACACTCTGCACCTCTCGTTGACGGTGAGTTGTGGCGGACCATGGAAGTCCTGAAAGTCCGGTACGTAGAGATCAGCATGCCATTCGGTGGCAAGTGAGTGAAGCTAGATGGTTTGTTTCAGATGATGCGCAAAGTGCCTCATTGTAGCCTGCATCCACCCTGTCAGGAATGCACGGCAAAAAGGCTCTCAACAAAAAGCGCTTTTCAGCTTCAGCCATAACAGCCATCCTCCCCCCACATGACCCGACGGCATCAAAGCTCGGGAGTTGTGGTTCATGACTTCGGGGTGCCTACACGAGCTGTGCCAAGAACTCGCACACAAAAGAAGCCTGAACTAAGCCACCCCGGTTTAGGATTGAGGGTTTTAGGGCTTAATTAGGGTAGCTCCCCAGTTGTTTTGCGCATCGGGGGGCCGAGAAGAACAAAAAGAGGCGGATTGCCTGCACGCAAACTGTCAAACAGTTTTTAGGGGTCCGTTAATATTCTTCGGCCCAGGGCGTTCCTACGGTTTTAGGGGGTTTTTAGCTCCAGGGCCGAATCGAACAACATGGCCAGGGATCGGGGAAGGTCAGCTCAATCAGCAACAGCCGGATCCACTAACATCCACTAAACGGATCAACAAGAAAGGCAAGCATCCGCAAGCAAGCTGTTGGATCTGACAGGCATGAATTGGGGCTCGTCGACGGGTCTCGTCGCTTCAGTGGTGAGCGTGGTTTAGGACAATCCCCTCTTTTGAGGAGGGGCAATGAATCGCCTCAGGGCGGTACGAATGGGGGACCAGCTGCAGATCGATGTACAGAGAGAGAGACAGAGAGAGAGAGAGAGAGAGTTTCCTCCAGTGCGCGTCCGCGCGCGGAGGGGTCCGGGTTCGCCCGCCTCTCCTGTCCCGGTAGAGAGAGAGAGAGAGAGAGAGAGAGAGAGAGTTTCCTCCAGTCCCGGTAGAGAGAGAGAGAGAGAGAGAGTAGCCATTTTGGCTCAAGCCGTGAGCGGTTCAAGGAACGGGATCGGCCGGGAGGCCCCCCTCCTCTTTCCTGTCTCTCCCTCCGCTGAGGCCGACCCTTCCTAAACCCGGGGGCTTGCCTCTTCTCTTCGCTGCCTCAGCCGCGAAGCGATTGCTGATCATCAAGAGCAAAATCTGTGCGCACTTCCAGCTCATCGCTCCTGTCCGTGAGATAGTTGTGCAACGTTCCCCGAGGGTGACCGCAGCTGTGCTGAACCTTCTGCAGTTTGACAAACCTCGGCAACTACGGGATCGGCGGCCCTACGCGAGCACCCCGAGCAGGTTACGATTCAGAACATTTTCGATACCGCGGGGGAGCAATGGCCCACGCGAGCATGGAGACGGAATCACCAGCACGCAAGCGGGGAGTCCCCCCGGAGGACGCCCTCAGTCTGGAGTCTATTCGTGAGGTCCTTCGCACGGAGATCCAGGGAGCGGTGGGAGGTGTGACAGACCGCGTGGCAGCCCTGGAGAGAAGCCTGCAGAACCACAACGAAAGGACTTTTCAAGCTGTAGAGACCCTTTCCACAGGCCAAGCAGCACAAGGTCTTCAGATCACCCAGCTCGCGAACGACTCCAAGGCGATGGCGGCCCGCCTCAACAACCTCGAAGGCTCCATCAAGCAGATCCAAACATCGGGGAGTACCCCGTCAACCATGGATTCAGCGCGAGTCCCAGCCGTTGTCATGGGGGGGTGGCCACCGGAAACTTTGGCTGCCGACGTGCTCAGCAAGGCCAATGAAATGGCTCGAGACTTGCAACTCCAGATCAACATGTCAGAGGCTTTCGTCCCTGGGGTGAGGCGTGGCTTCGTCCTTGTCCCCATCAATCCCATGGAAGGCGAGACCGAGGAGAACATGAGACAGCGCGTGCAAAATTGCATCAGGAGGGTCAACTCCTCCAATATCACATTGGGTCGGAAGCCAGATGGTAATCCGGCCAAGCTCTGGCTCACCCTGAGTCAACCACCAGAACGCCGGCGCAGAGCTGCTTTGGCGGGAAAAGTCAAACGGCTCATCATTGAAGCCGGGGGAACAGGCCTCGTCTCCCGCATCGAGCCAGAATGGGCGACGGGTACAGTCTGGCCACAAGGTTCGAGTGCAGCGGGTTGCGGGTGGATCGACCTCCCGCGTCTGTCCGAACTACTAGGCGTGGATCATCAACTACTACTCAAACAATGGGAGCCGCTGCTGGCGGCCTTGCGCTGAGCCGACCAAGAACTGCTACAGGGGGTTGACCCCACAATGTTTCACAGTTTGCCTGCAAGCCCACCCGGAGCATTCCAACAGCGGATGCCCCCTGCTAAGCCGAGTGAGTGCCTGCACACTGCCACCTGGAACCTTGGCGGGATGAGCCCGGAAGTTACGCTGGACTTGCTCGCCAATTTTCGGGGTGACAAACCCCTAGCACGCCTTCAAATCGTATTTCTCCAAGAGATTACGACTAATGGAGGGCCGAACTTCCTTGACAACGAAACATGGATGCTGGTCCATGGCAAATTGCAGTGCGAGTGGAGAGGTTGCGGTGTGGCTTTCAAGAAGACCTTGGGATTGCACTTCAGCTCCCAACTCCGCCTCGCGTCTTGTAGTACTTGCCTCAGGTTTCATAACTCTAAAGTTGCAGGACTGATTTCAGGCCATCTGTCTCATAAGTTTACCATTGCCGAAGCAGCCGAAGCCTTACAGCAGTGGGGGGAAACCCCGGCGTGCAGACAGCAGAAACTTCTGCTAGGTTTCGACGCTAACGAAACCTTCATCCAGCCGGGGGATCTCCTTGAAGGTGAAACACTTTCATGCACCGGCCGCGGAGAACAGATTCTGACGTGGTGTGCAGAAGAGGGCATTGCTCTCCCGCCACAGGACATGCACTGCCCCAGCCACTTCCCTTACAACCCAGACCTTGCCCCCCGCAGGATCGACTACGTTGCGTCCCGGCACGTCAATT